GTTACTATTTTCTACGTATATAGACAAAAACCTCACTCAGAAACTCTAAACTGTCATATCCTTTAACAGGTAGCAGTTGTGGCAGGAAGAAATCCTTCGATGGTAAAATCCTTTACTCCTTCAGCCTGGGCACTAATAGGCAAAAGCTTAAAAGAATACCGAAAAGCTTAAAAGAATAAATTCATCAATGTATTTGAGGAGAAACATTATTCTTCTGGATCTTCCTCTATTGAGAACAATGAGAGACAAAGCAGCCCAAGAAGCTTCAGTTATATGAATTCAGAAAGCATTTCCTTTTGAAAAACCAAAATGCCTTTCAAATACACATTTCAGATATTTATGTTAGATATAACAGCACTAAGAGAAATACAGTGTCCCACAATTACTACTGAAAATATTCTTCAATGTACATTGTAAGCAAGACAAGTAATACCTATGAAAACCTCAAGTTAAATTCTAAATCAACTTCAAAAGGCTTGTGTTTGGAGAAATATTTCTGGTTAAAAACACTTCTACTCACTTAAACCTCTCTCTTGTATGGCAGAGCTGAATTCTTGTAATGTCTTAAAGACTTATGAGTTTGCCAAGGATAATACACTTGCTTGTCTAGTCTGGAGAAAATATGTTTACGATGACACTGCGAATACCCTAAGCAGGTAACTTGTCCGCCAATTATACAATATGCAACCTTGTCCACTCTCTACAGCTGCAGCCACAGTAGCAGCATCCACTGGGGCATGTGTACACAGGAGGTCCTGACAAGTTACTTGGTATGTGCAGGGCAATTATTTTATTTCCCAGTATTAACACTTCACTTCATCTATCAATCTTCACGAAGAACCAAAAATGTAATGACTGTAAAGGTTTTACTGATGTTTACAAACGCTAGGTAACGAATGATATGCTCTTGTTAAAGAGAACCTAGCTCCCAATCCCCTCTAATAAACACATCTCAGTAAATGTCATATATTTCACATTTCTCCTTTCCTTCACTCCCCCTTAAAAAAAACACCAGAAAAACAAAGACCACCACCACCTCAAAACTAAATTACCAAACCTTCCAGCCCAGTTTAATGCAAACAAGAAATGACAGTAAGTGTAAAGAACTAGGGCCCAAATAGCCATTTTGTGATGCATAACTCAGATCTGACTGGGTTAGCAGTCCTTCACTTTTCCTCAAGCTTTCATCCTGCCCCATCTTATCTACACAAGCACTTTACTTCTTAAGAGTGCCTACAACTTCAATGTAGAGTAGAGAAGAGGCAAAATGATTTATCAGCAAAATGCTCTACAGGAATATCTATGAAGCAAATTTTAGCTTTTTTGAGGTCAGGTATTGGGAAAGATGTTTCATAATTAGGCATTACAACAAAATGAGTTGTTGACAACTATTGTTCTAGAGTGAGGTAACCCAAAATGAGTATCTGATTTACACAATACCTCTATCCATCTCCTTTTTTTGACCTATATTGCTACTTAATATGAAGAAGGAATATAACATGCTCAATATAGGAAGGATGAAAGGGAACAGTATTGTTAGGGAGAAGAGATAGCTATTTTTCACAATGAGAACAATTTAATTTCTATCAAATATAATTATACAGTCCTAGCATCTTCATAGAATTTTAAAGCTGGAAGAGTCCTTTCAGACCATTTGGTCTACTGTCTAATCTTACAGACAAGAAAAACTAAAAACTTAAGCCCAAGTTCAAACAGTTAAATAATGACAAAACTGGGACTTCTGACCCAGTACATTAAATATTCTCTTTGATATTTGCACATCTATTGTAAACAACTTTTTAAAAAGATTTTGCTAATTTATTTTTAGAGAGAGGGGAAGGGAAAGAGAGGGAGAGAAACATCAATGTGTTGTTGCTTCTCATGTGCCCCTGACTGGAGACCCGACCTGCAATCCAGGCATGTGCCCTGGCCAGGAATCTAACCAGCAACCCTTTGATTTGCAGTACTCAATCCACTGAGCTACACCAGCCAGGGCTATAGTAAACAATTTTTAACATTCAAAGTTATAGACACAAACATAAATGAATTTCTGCGTACAATATAAAATGTGCATATAATTTCAAATTCACCTCTGTTGCATGAAACATAGATAGTACTCTTTGCTGTTTATATTCCTCTAAGAGCTTTGTGCTAACTGGAACAGGTGGAGGAAGATGAATGTTAAGGGGAAAATGTAGGAAAAGAATAAACAGCACATTGGTTAAGATAAAACAATCAGTAGGCTACTAGGATTAACAGCTACTGAAAAGACAAGATTGAAAAATGAGGCAACAGAACGACTTCCAGGGGGTTCTCACCCTAAAGGTAGAAAAGAGCTAAAGAACTAGCAAAAGATAAGAGCAGTGTAAAAGTACTGGAATGTGTGTTACATAAGCCCTCTGAATGAAGTGATGGAATTCTTGAAGCATATGGTAGTGAAACCTGCATTTTTAAACCAGAATCCCAAGATGATACAAGAGCAGATGGCTCTTAAGAGTACATTTTGAGAAACACTGTTTTTCAGCATATTGTGGCCTAGCCAAGGTTAAAGGTATTACAAATTCTTGTTTAGGAGTTCTGGTCCATAACTAGCTTTACTTGATCCTCTCAACCACTGAGGCAAGGAAATACCCCAGTTGAGTTCTTTGTGCAGCATCCAGGCAGCCAAACTAGGAAGTAACTGTACAGTCACCCCAAGGAGCCAGAGAACATTTATATAATCACTGCCCAAGCTCTAAGATGAAGACAGCTTTTTTCACAAATGTCTGTTATAAAGTACGGTTTTCATTTATCATTAAGTGACTCATTGATTACAAGCAAGTGAGCAAAACAGAATGGGAGACATGGAAATAAATAAACTGACAGTGACCAGAGGGGAGGGGGAAGAGGAGTAAAGGTCAAGTCATGGAACAAATATAAAGGACGCACAAACAAAGACAAAGGGGCAGGGGTGGGATGGGGGGAAGCAGGATTGAAAGTGGGAGGTGGGTGTGAGTAGGGGAGAGCAATGGGGACAACTGAAATTGAACAAAAAAATGGAAAGAAAATAAGTATTCTACTTTCAATGTGAAGCAGTATTTTGTTACTCGCTGAAGTCTTTGAGCTTATAGCTATAAAAAGATTTAGTCATTTTTTATCTGCCCATTCATCTATGACTGTGGTGTGGTCACAAAGGAAAATTCTAGCCATCACAGCTTAGCTCCAGTATTTTTCTTTGGATATGGGAATCTGAGGAAATAAAAATGGAAAACAAGGCACAGAGCTATGAGTGGTTACTTTTTTACATTTGCTATGACCACAAAATTTGCATGTGGTGAAATTGTGAGAAATTCTGAGGATCTAAAAACAAGGTCACCGTTTCAGAAATAACAGAAAATGTCAAAAGTTGGATTTAAAGCTTCCCAGCAAATTAATTCTGATTTTTGTGTAGTTTCAAATCTCCTTCACTACAGTGGAACAGAGCAAAGCTGTCTGAAGTTACATAATAGGACGCTTTCTCTCGACACTTTTTTTTAATGGGAGGAATCATATTTGTTTTATATGATTTAAAAAGATATAATGGAAGTAAAACACACCTATGTATATGTATTTGAGACTTGTTACTGGGCACTTGACTATCTATCTACTTCAGGTACAACAAATGTTACATAAATGTAGAGATAAGATAATTTGCTACTGGAATTATGGCCTGTGCATTCCAAACATTTTCTTTTAAAACCAATTCTCTTTGCAATGAATTCAGAAAAATAATACCAATATCCAAACTCTTCATCGTTTTTAGGAAATCAATTCACTGTTCCTATTTCAAGGAAAGGCAGTCATTTAACAACCAACCCCTGACCTTTGTATTTTCAACTAGAACACTTCCAAAAATAAGTACAGGCAAACATTTTTACATCCAAATTAACATTACATTCTTAAACATGTTGTAGTATATGAGTGACCTGTTTTTTGGCCTATTTTTCAGGAGTAATTTTCATTAGACTATATAAAAAATAACATTCATTACTCATACCTACACACAAATTACTGAGTTTTTCGAGTTAAAACTGAGTTTATCCTACAGATAATAGGTCTTGAAAAATGCTAAAGAAAATTAGCACGATTATGGTTTCACTCCTGATCTTACTTAGGGCTAAAAAAGGGATTTTGTAAAGTAAAGGAGAATTTTATAAGAGATGTAGCACAAGTTCCCCACATTTAGTTTCACTTAACCCAAGGGGTCCTATAAAGATTCTGACAGAATTTAAAACCAATTGTCCGTTTTACACTACCATCCACATAGTAATTACAGATCTTTACCTGCAATGTTAGTTTCAGTTATAAAATCAACAACCAGAACCTACTCACGAGTACCTTCACCTTGCTTCCCCCCACCCCCATCAGCTCCTGGCTCCCTCTCCGGACCCCACCCTTAAGTTCACCTGCCAATACCGAAGGGACATGGGAAAAGAAGGTAAAGAAGAAAATGCTTTTAAAATTAAGAGGCTCACAGTAGGTGGATTTAGTCCAAATATTGTTCGGCCTAGAAACGAAATGTAGAAAGCAACAGAGGTCTAGGCTTGTAATGATGTCAGCCATTTTAGGCACATTATTTATACCGGGAGGAAGTGCCAAACTCTGTTGTTTTTGTGATTCTGCTTGTCGCCACTGGTCTCCATGTCAGACGAAATTCGTCCTGGCGCCACGAACACCTCCCCCCCTCACTGCATCAACGACTATAAACTCGGCATAATTCTTCAATCCTTCTCTCTCCGGGCCTCCCAAACTGCCAATCCTGTATTAGGAACCGCTTCCTGTACTCGCACTTCTTACAAAGAAGCTGCGGCCCGACAAGAAAGGGCAGAAGCCTGAGAAAGAAGGAGTGCTCGGCTCCCTCCCAGACGCGCGCCCTACTACTGGCACCGCACCACCTGGGCGCGCAGAGCCGCACGAGCGCTGCCCAGCTCTCCCGGCCTAGCAAAGAGCCCACTCCCGGGACCTCCCAGGCCCTCTCAAACCTTGCAGTCCACCGCGACGACGTCGGGGGGGATGATGAGCGCCTCCTCACTGCTCTTTGGTTCGTCCTTCTTGGCCTCCTTCTGGGCCAAAGCCGAGTTGAACGTCACCTTCACCATGGTACTGCCTGAAGTGCCCCCGGAGGGCGGCGGCGGGCTTCAGTCGCGGGCTTCGGGTTTCTGGCTGCGGAGGCACCTTCCTCTGCCGGGCTCCTAGCGCGGCTCAACGGCGGCTGAGCAGGACTAGGAGGTTCCGCAACGACTACTGCAGCCTCGAAGCCTCCCACCTCCCAGGGCCGGGCGGAGACAACACGCACACCCAGGAATGGGGGCGGGGCGGGAACTTGGCTGACCGGAGGGGCGGAGCTGAGAGGGCAATGGGTGGGGGGGAGCGGTTCAGGGCAGGTCAGATGGTAGGCGGTCGGGAGGGGCAGATCCTGGAGTGGAGCCAGGCCCCGCCCTCTCCCTCAGGCTCCACGGGTGATCTGGCAATGAAGGGAGGGGCGCTCCTGGGTGCGGACCTGGATTTTCCAGTTCTGATTTCACTACCACTAAGTTTACCAGACTCAGTGTTTCAGTTTTGTAGGCTCAAAATCAGGCTCAATATCTTGGCAAATTATTAACTTCTGGAAGCACCAGGCCAGTCCTCGCCTGCCTGCTGCCTGTTGCGAGTCTAAAGGCCGTGAAATTTTGGGGCGTCCACACCCTCATTTTCTCACTTTATTATGGAACTGACTCATTGGGGAACAGAAATGTTTAATGGGTTCTGTCTTTGTGATCGCAATTCATTATCTTCCCAGACCTCACCCAAGGGCGTTACCTGACTCAAACTTGCCCAGTCTTCTCCCTCTGCCACGGAGAGTTTACACCTGCCTGCCTAGTCCCAGAGCAATTCAGAGGATGCTTTTTGGCAGATTTGTATTTCATACATCTCACATTCCGAAACAAAATATTCCACTCTTATGCATACTTGGACAAAACTCACATGCATACTGGCCTGATTTGTGATTTGAGGCCTCGATGATTCTAAGACTAGATGATGATGCGTTTTCAGGGGGAAAACTTCTAAGGATAAAACAAAATTATATTTTGAAGAGATTTCACTTACAACTAATTTGAGAGAGGATACTGGCCTGCACTGTTATTGGGTTAATGACTGTGTCAACATATGGACCTTAGGACAAATGGTTGATCTTGTATCCTTCTCCCACCCAACTCATCCCTGGTTCAACCAGAGATGTGGGTGTACTCGAAAATGTTTCAGCTTTAACAGCTCTGCGCCAGTTCAACCGCAAAGAAAGTAGGTTGGGCATGAGGTCCTGGGGGATTTGGCTCTGCTCAAGGAGGGGGTCAGATCTCTTAGACTCTCCATAGAATCAGCCCAAGATCTCAGAATCTTTCCTATCATTTATCTCCAAGAGTCACCCTGGATTAAGCTAGAAACCCAGTCCAGACCTTGTGTCTACTTAGGCATTCTGAATTTCCAGTGAAAATAATTTGTGTTCAATGGAGAATAGGAAGAGTTGGGTTCCAGTTCTGGTGAATTCTGACCCTAGCTAGCCATATGACTTGTAGCAACTTATTTAAACTCCCTAGGTGTCACTTGTCCAGGGACTTTAAATCAACTCTGTGGAGTTGACTGTGAACTGGCATAGTTTCATAGATTTCCTAAGGCACTACAATTTTAGACTAAGGAATGCTGGATGCAAGATCTGTAAGATTATAAATGACTATACATATATCTTTCCTGATTCTCTTTTTATTATGATGGAATTGTGAGAACATACTCAAGGCATTTTACAGTAGGTAGAATTAGGGAAGAACACAAAATTCTGAACAACACTATTAAACAAATTAGAAAACTGAGGCAAAGGAGGAACAAAGGAGTTTGACAGAAAAGGAACCCCCTCCTCCCAATTTCTAGTCTAAAAGATTCAGGAATACAAGACATTAATTACTTTGCAGTTTAAAATTTTGTGTATCAGCAACAGTTTAAAATCAATTGGCAAACAGTCTGGGAATAATCTGGTTTTCTTTCTTCAAAACTGTGTCTACAAAACTTTAGTGCACAATAACAGAGATAAGAAAGAAGCTGGATCAAGACCAAATATAGCAAATCCAGTCTTGTGACTTGTAAAAACGTTGCCCGTTGACCCTGAAAACTAAGAGTGGGGGAAGGAGAGTTGATGACTCAATTAAAAAAGTTAAAAATATAGTCATAAGTTACCATTAACTATTGAATGCAAGAGAGTTTTAGGTCTTTGTTTTCCTTTTTTTCCACGTTGATTTTGAAAGAGTAAGAAGACTTTTAAAACTGATCATAGCTTTACACTTCACCTTGATTACCATGTTTGTTTTTCTACCTAACTAGGAAGGAGGACAAAATAGAGCTGACTAAGTAAATTCAAGAATCTTAGATCATATAGATTTGTGTGGTATGCTGCAACGGGGCTTAATTTTTTCAGGTTCTATCCCCATACCTCCTTCAGTTTTAGGAGGATATAGGAAAACATTTTTGCAAATGTGAGGCTCTTAGTGAAACCACATCACTGAACATGCCCTTTGAAATGTGCTTTTAATGCCTTCTCTCTTAATCCAAAGTGTTTCTGTAGCTGGGCATCTTGTGGCTTTGTCTAAGCTTTTTATTTTTTTAAAAAAAAATGTTTTCTTCTAGACAAAAGGTGAAAGCTTCAACTTGCCTCTCTTCAGACTTAAGCAAGCACTGTTTTTCTTTCTTCTTTATAACTTCAGATATCCTTTATTATTTCTAAATTTCTTAGCTACTAAATTTATATTTCTTATCACCTCCCTACCTCAATACCATATGTGTTTTTCAATTATTTTGAAATATTATTTTTTTCAATTATTTTCTTTTAGACCATGTCATTATTTTCCATGATGAACTGGCTAGATGAGGTTTTTGTTGTTGTTTACCTTCTCAGAATCTTGGGCTGTAATGTACCAACCCTTCGGGAATTGTCCTTATAATAAATGAAATTCTCTTTTGCTTTGATTGATTGTGGCATTTGGCATTTTTATTTTGTTTTGTTTTGATTGTGAAAAGACTGGATATGCTCCACACTGGGTGCTCTAGTCACCTAGTTGCTATCTATTGGTTTCCCTCCTCCAAGCATGGCTCTCTAAGTGCCATACTTAGAATATGTATCTTCACATTTAGAAGAGAGAAAGAAAAAAAGAGGGATAAAATAAGAAAAACAAATAAAAAAAAAAACGAGACAAATGGCAGAAAGGCACACAGATAGTCCAATGAACAGAATTCACTTAAAGACCTGAAATCAAATCTTAAATTTCATCATGTAATTACATATTTCATTAAAAATACTCAACAAATAACCCAACTTTTTTTCACATTTTGTTATTATTGTTCACATACTGTTTTCTGCCTTTTCCCCCTACCCCTCCACACCACCCCAGCCCTCCTTTCCTCCCTCCCCTGTTTCCACACCCCCCTTGTTATTGTCCATATGTCCTTTATAATTGTTCCTATAAACCCTTCACCCGTTTTCCCCATTGTACTTTCCCCTCTCCCCTCTAATCACTGTCAGCCTGTCTCAATTTCAGTGTCTTTGACTATACCTTGCTTGCTTGTTTGTTTTTTTGATTAGGTTCCTGTTAATGGTGAGTTCATATCAAATAACCCAGCTTTTCACTACACGACAATAGAGTCTAGAATGACATGGAGTGGCCTGTCAAGGTTTCATGAGGAGATAAAATTTTAGTTGAAGTGGAAAGGACTTGGATGAAGAGAAAAGAAGAGGAAGAAGAACCTGACTGAAACAAATAGTATGAAGAAGACTAAGACCATAAGAGCACTTACCAAGAAAAGCAGCATCTGGAGGAGGGTATATGCTGAGTAATTGTGAGGAATAACAACTGGATTGAGAAGATCCAGTTGTTATTGAGAGCCTAAATCTCCATGTCTATTAGAATGAGTAGTGTGGAATTTTTCCTGCCGAGATTTCTAAAAGTGTCTGCAAATAACCTGTTTTTTTAAAGTTGCTCTATAAAGATTAATCTGGATTTCCAGGTTAATGGGAAAGAAGGAATCGCCAAAGACAGAAGTATCAAGACCATTGAAACAGCTCCTCTCTCTCTCTCTCTCTCTCTCCTCTCTCTCTCTCTTTTTACAGGGGATAAATGAGATAAGTTTATAATGCTATTTTGTTTATATTAGAATAAAGGATACCATATAAACTAACATTACTACTAATAATGTACAATAGAGAGAGTATGTGTGTTTATAAGTCAAATAAGGTAAAAGATATATGCACAAAGTCTGGCCAAATATCATTAAAAACCTGTCCTACTCCATTTAAATCTTACTAAGTGTTGTACTGGACTCAGGACTTCCAGGCAAACAGCACAGAGGTATTGTTGTCATAACCATTAGTTTGGCAACATGGATTGTGGGAGGAGGCACTAATATTTCTCTGTCATGACTGCATATATGCCCCCCCACCCGCAGTATATGTGTGTGAGGCTGTACGTATACGTGTATACACTAAACTTTTTAAGGCCCTCTATCACCAACCCAACCTGTATCACCAGTGCATTCTCTCTCTACTCTATTCTGACCAGCCTTAACTATAAGAATTTGCTCTGCTTATATCTTTATCAAAATCATTATTCTAATTAATACAAAAAAGCAGGTAATTTGCTGTTTCAAATCCAATTTTGTTATGACAAAAAAGGAATATAAAGTTAATACAAAGAAATTCCTTTCAGTGAGTTTCTTAAATGTTTGACTAAATTTCCATCCAGATAGTTAGTTCCATGTTTTGTGTACTTTTATAAAATGAGATAAATTTGATACATAGAATAATAGAGATCCTGAAGGCAGACTTTATCTAACACTGATTTTTAAAAATGTATTAGTTGTCCTAGAATCTAATTAAAATCCCCATGTGATCCCTAAATATTTTTTCCTTCTGCTGAGATAAAAAGAATGCTAACTTTCTTTGAATTCTAGTGAATTATTTAACATTCTGGCACTTTAACTAAGTAAAGAAAAGAATATCACTTAACCAGAACTCTGATTAAAAGTGTAGATGCATTCTTAGTGGAATATATGGCAATATATTTTATCTCCTGAAAATATTTTTGTAAACCTAACTGCTAAAACAGCTTTAAAAATTAATTTGTCTAGAACCTTTATGAGAATTACTGAAATATTCTAAATGTGGTTTGATATATCACATCTCTAAATATTTTTATACATTATATCTTATATTTCATATATACTTATTAATTACATTGTAGGCATATGTGCAATTTGAACCTAAGTCAAAATAGAAAAAAAAAG